TGTGTTTGAGTGGTGTAAGTGCTTCAGAGAGGGCAGAGAGTGCATGGAGAATGAACCACATGATCGTAGGCTGCGAACATATGTCACTGAGCCAAACATTGATCATGCAGATGCGCTTATTCGTGAGAATAGGCGCATCACCATCAAGGAACTTGGAGCAATGCTGTCCATCAGTGTTGGTAGTGTAGAGGACATCATGAAATACCACCTGCACTATTGCAAGGTGAATGCACGGTGGGTACCACGCACTTTGATGGGTGTGAACAAAATGGTGCACGTGGAAGCTGCCAGTCGTCTCCTACAGCAGTTTGAAGATGAAGGTGATGCATTTTTGAAGTCTTTAGTGACCACCGATGAAACGTGGGTGCACTACTTCATTCCCGAGTCCCAGCAGTCATCATGTGAGTGGCAGCATACCAGTTCTCCCAAACCCAAGAGAACGCGGAGGAACCGTTCAGCAGGAAAAGTGATGGTAACGTTCTTCTGGAACTCGCAGGGGGTTATCCATGTAGACTTTCTGACAGATGCCAGAACAGTCAGTGCAGGTTATTACTCAGACCTACTGGCAACAGATGTGAAGGAAAAGATCTGATCCAAGTAGAAGACATGTGGAAAAGCAGGTAGCCTTCATTCAAGACAATGCACACCCCCATACGGCCAAAAAAAACAATGAAAATCCTCTGGAAATTGAAATGGAACCTTCTTACACATCCGCCATACAGTCCCGATTTGGCCCCAAGTGATTTCTACCTGTTCAGAAGGCTCAAATCAGACTTGCAAGGCATGCGATTTATGGACGATGACACCATCATCCAGACTGTTCGGGAGTGGATACACTGCGAACCACAAGGCTTTTTTGAAAAGGGCATCAGGATGCTTCCAGAATGTTGGAAAAAATGTGTTTACTCTGGAGGGGAGTATGTTGAAGACTGACATGCACAAGTAAGTATTTGGCAGTTATGGTTTTAAAAAAATCAGTGCCCGTCATATTTTAACCACCTTGTATATGGATTGGGTGGAGGGGACTATATTCAGGAAAATCAAAAATAGACAGGTGCAACTAGCAATGCTTCTGTAGATGTGGGACCTCATATCTTGATGTGTGTAACATGGTTTACTACCCTTAAATAAAGCCTTGAATATGGTATGCAGAAGCTCATGAAGAAAAGTGCATGTGGTATTTGAATAAATATGGCATTTTAACAGCATATAGGGCATTTTGTAAGGATAAATAGAAGCTAATAGAGTTGTAGATGTATTTACAGATTGTAAGTTGTTCTGTTGCAGGTGTTCACAGCTGATGTTTTCAGAGGTCTGTTTGGCTTTGCAACATGGTGGTGCTGTTTTGCATGGTTTTCCACTTCCTCATTGGGAATGGTGTATCAATCATACTTCAGTCATTCATAGTCTAGTTGTAATCGTTCTCTGAAGTCATATGAGAGGATTGTTTCATGTGTTTTCCACCCCTATATTTCATTCATTCAGTTATTAGGTAGCATAATGTGTTTGTTAATTGATCTGTTATGAATTCTGTTATGAGTGGGGCAGCTGTATATTGTTGCCAAGGCCAATTATGTCTGAGGAGTTAAATAGGTGTTGCAGCTCTGTGTATCCAGTCTTCTGATGTTGACATGTACAGCACATTGTAACATACAAATTCAGTGCTCTCTAAAATTATTGTTGTTGAAGTTAAGCTGTAGAGGTAAGTATATACATTCAAGGGTATGGAAGCTATTTTGGATGTATAGGTATGAGAAATATAAACTGTTACAAACTGATTGCAATATCAGTTCTCTGTATTGTGGAAAGGATTAAAAGCACTAAAAATCACTTTCCAGAAGAAAAAGGAACAACTTTAATTTTAACCCAGTATTTCATTATGTCACTGAATGGAAAGTATCACAGTGCAGTCTTGGTCAGTTCTGACCTCTTCCATAACACCACAGAATTTTGTTGAAGGACTGAGAGGAATACAATTTTAGTCTTGTCATACAATTTATGTTATGTTCTGTAGCAAATATAAAACATATGAATTTTGTGTGAAGAATTGTGCACGGTCTCATAGAACAGAAAATAAACGTAAAACAGTTTTCAGTCACTGAAACAATCATTGTTGAGATAGAGCCTTCTCTGGTTACTAGATTTATGAAGACACTACTGGGAGCATGAATGTAAAGCTGCCAAGCACGCCACCTGTATGTAATGACAGGAACATGTACAAAGGATACAACTGACAGCAGTGGACACTTCAGGGTGTATTTGTTCCAACACAGAACTCCCATTTTTTAATTGCTTGCAAGAGTGTACTGTATGCTTTGCAGGAGCCCGTTGGGTACCAAGTACACATGATTATGCTTCTGTACTAAAACAACAATTGTTATTTACACGGGAGCATTACATAGTCTTTCACTTATTACCATTTTGTTAACTGTGTTGCTGCAGCATTACTAGCAACTCTTGCCACCTGCAGTCATTTCTGTGAACTGCATTCACTGGTGAAGTCTGAAATGTGCTCTCACATTGTGAAATTAAAAAAGAAATGAAATAAATAGGTATACACCTTGTGCACCAGTTCATAGAAAGTGATGTGTACCACCTGAGTTCAGTTATGAATATTTCGTTTTGCTCATGTTGCTACAGGCTGTATATTTTTTTCTTCTCTCTTGTGACCTTAAGTGCATTTCCTTTGTATTGTTGATATTTCATGGCTCAGGCTCTGTCTTCGGGCAGGAGACAAGTTATTATAGTTTAAAAGGCTGCTGTGTGCTGCTGTTTTTCAGTTTGTGATGTTTACTTTTCCCCTACACTGAGCTGCAACACATGCTGCTGGCTGATCATACTCACATAATTGCTGTCTGATAACCTGTTTTCAGAGGAATGTTGAATGTGTGTTACTTATTTTTATGTAAAATAACAATTTTGTGTATGTTGTATTTTTACCCTTAAGACACATCTTCAGTGTATGGACACAATGTTATAAATGAGATATGTCTGAAAAGAAAAATATGTGCTTTATATTTTGATTTACTGACCAGATCGGTTTGTTTAGCAGTAATGTTCTAGACCTGTATTTGGGAGGTGCTCGGTTTGAATTTCAGTCAGAACACCAGCTATCTTGACTGAAGTTATTTTTTTTTTTCCACATTCCTTCTAGGCACATGCAAGAATGGCACCTTGAATAGGCCATGACTGCTTCCTTCCAAATCCTTTCAAATTGATTATTCACCAGTCAACCTACTGTTTGAGCTTCTGACAGTCTTGTGAAATAAACCATAAAAAGAAACTGATTAAGGTTATTATGTATTCATTGCACTGCAGTTTTACCATAACAGAAACTTGTGAATCACATTACAATTGAACTTCATGATCATATTGAAACATAACTGAAATAATTTATAATACTATAGAAGAGCTTTAATATACAAGTAAGTTGACTTGTGTGCATATATGAAAGAAAAAGAAACAGTTGTTCAGACATGCATGAGTGATGCCTTTTCTTCTTCAGCCCAGGTTCATTTATGTGGGACAGCTGCAGTAAGAGTGGTATAAGGATTGCAGTTGAATAAGTACATAGATCTATTACAAGATAAAAAGATAAAGCTATCCCTGTAACAGGCCTTGAAGGCTCATAGGGTTGTGAAACATCAAGGCTCCCACATTTTCTCTAGACAGCTCACAGATCGTGGTTAGGTTGTCAGCCTTACAGGCTGGCTGCCCTTTTCCCCCCAGGACGATTCCTGGTACTCATTTCTTTTAGAGGCCGAGTTGACCCCAGGGCCATAATTTGGCTGGAAGGATTAGGTCAATTGAAAAAATCCACCTCATCAGGAATCAGGAATATCAGTGGTGGTATTTAGGGGTCTAGGCTAAATGTTGTAAAAATTTTATTTTTATCATACTATATATGAATGTCAGATGAGAATTACAACATTTTTCACTACATCACAAATGACAGCTTTTACATGACAAAATGAGGTCTTGTTAAGGTCTTTATCTCTTATTTGAAACATGTTTTTTTTGACATTTATATTTAACACAATAGAAATATGTAAATATTTTATTACAACTGACTAATGGTTAACTTGCTACTGTAACCTGAATAATACCAGCACCAAAGTCTGTCACTGGATTTGATGTTGAGTCTCTTTTATCAGCATTGTCTTCATAACCTATGCCTGTGACTGATGGTGAATATCCAGTCAGCATTTGTGTTTGGGAGCAATTTTAAAACATTATGCAGTGGTATGGAGGTGGTCTAAGATATAATGCTACTTTCATGCCAAGCTGTACATAGATACAATCTGTTGCCCTGATTTACTAATTCACTGATTACACAAAATGGTGGCAGTAAAATATTACTAACAATAACATAGGGAGTTTATGGACTTGAAAAGTAGTAGTACATAGCAGTAGTAGTAGCAGGAACAGAAAGTGATAATGTAATGAGTGGAAATATTTTATGAACTCTCAGAGAGTCTGAATAATTCATAATTCGTTGATGTTTGGAAACAATGTAAGCTTCACACATCCTGTACCATACAACTTTGTTGAATGATATCTATATTGTAGAGAAATTTATATACTATAGATTCTTATTATAACTTATTTTAGACTATATTCCTGAATTATTATTCTTTGCTATAATTTTAAAATAAAGTTATATCATATTTTATTGCATTATATATTTTTTTTAGTATCATTATCTAGTTGCGTAATAATATATATATATCTTATGTTAGTTCGTTACCGTTCCCCAGGGCTTGCTCCAGTCTGCTGGCACTGCGTACAACAGCTGCTTGGCATTGCTGAACTTTCATTATGGCAGTCTGTTCCTTCCCATCTCCCCTACAGCTTCCTGAGGCAACAGTTGTTGCCAGACCATGGACAATTGCACACACAAGTACACATGGAGACACCACCCCCATACACCCACTCAGTACTGAATGCAATGTGTCACGTCCTGTCTGACTCAGTTTGGCTCCTGTTCCTGTTAGAGAGGGGTCCTGTGTTGCAAAAACAGCCAGTGCATTGCATGCCGTGGTCAGGGCTTCACCAAACACCTGCATTAGAAGAGAGCACTGCTGAGTGTTACTGGAAAAGAGAAACTTTTGAAGTTATCTTTATAGGTTATGTGCCATCTCTAGCTATATTTATGTATGTCATGATTACAGGAATTGCGGATGTATATTGTGTTAAGTCCCTTGGATCCATATATTCCTCATGAATTTGTATGTAAGTGTGACAGTCATAAAATGGAGTTCATAAATATACCTGTGGCATTTCATGTACATGTAAAATTAGATTGCAATAGGCACTGCTATGTGGAGAGAAATCACTAAAAACTTGCAGAGCAAGCTAAAGTATGGGCTTGTAAGAAAGTCTTTGTTCATGAACCAAAACAGCAGCTCATACATAAAAAAGGATCAGATATAATATCATTCTGCTGTAAAAAGTTTTTGGAGCAGAATGCTAGGAACTAGGATAGCTCAATCAGCATAGTGACCAGACAATGGATTTGGCATCCAAAGAATCGGGTGTTTGATTCCCAAGTGGGAGTAAGAAATTTTTCTGCCAGGCCAGCACTGAGGCCCACCAAACATCCTATTCAGTAGTATAAAGGGATTGTTTCCCCAAAGGTTAATGTGACTGGGCTTTGAGGTTGACCATTTACCTCCATCTGGTGCCAAGGTTAAATTAATGCTTTGACTCCCACATATGTCTTCACAGCATGGTGCTTGAATAAGCATAAGGACAGCTTTACACTATGGAACAGAACACAACTAACTTGCTTCATATGCTACCCTCTGTACAGTAGTATGAGACAGGATATGTGAAACACAAATCTCTGATCTTAACTATCGTAGCTGTGTTAACACTTGCAGCACCTAATACAACAAAATTAACTACCTCCTGCAGTACTTTCCATATTTATGCATAGTACCTGCATTTAAACGACTGGTCTGGTAGTGTTAATGTACACTGAATTTCAAGGGCCACGTAAAATAACTTTGGAAACAACCACTTGACAGTCACTTCTATGGTATCATTCACTGATGTCTGACGTTGAAGCCTTCTTCATTTTTCTGCCTACTGTTTTTCTACTTATTTATTCTTGCACTTGGTCACTCAGCTTAATCCTTGGTCTCCCAACTGGTCATTTATTCTACACTTCAATATTTATGGTTTGCAAGAAATCATATGCCTCAGCACATATCCATACCACTCTATGAAACTAAGTATGAGTATGTTCATATTCTTTCTTAAGCCTTTTCCACACATAACTTATCACACCACTCAACATGTAGAAGTGTCAGGACAGTGGATGTGCTGCATTTGGGGGCATTTGACTAATCCATACCCACCCAACAATTACTATCACAGTGGACTCAACCAGATTCTGCAGTCTATCAAGAACAACTGCACCTATGGACATGGATATTATTATGAACTGAGTGTAGTACCTGACAAGCTCTGTAGTTGGTTTCTGTTGGTCTGTCTTTGAGAAATTTAATACTGCCACAGAATGTGTTGACTGCAGCTGTGACACTTTTGAGACAGAGACGAAATTGCTCCCTTAAGTTGTCTTCTGGAGCCTCATCTGCAGCTTTCAGGCATCCATCTGTCAGCACATTTGCACCTTCTGTCACGCTAATGCAGATATCTGTAAGTTGCTACATATAGATATATTCTATTGAATTCATTTCACTTCCACCGCACAACTCATTTCTTCGTAACACAGTATGTCCACAAAATAAGTTTGCTGTTCAGAATGTTATTTTCATAACAATGATACACAAAAGAATGAAACAAGAACAACAATGATGACACCCAGTCTTTGCATTAGCAAACTTTCACATGTGCATCTCTTGTAATATGCAGATATTGAGGTGACAGTCACAGTTGTGCATCTCTTATAGTGTTATTTCAGTAGTTACTGTAATGTCATGTTCTACGTTTCAACACTAATTGTCTAGAGACCCCATAACTGCACCTTTATGTACCCACAAAAAAAAAGAGTTGAGAGACAAATCCAGGGACCTGTGAAATAGGGTTTTGCTCCCATAAAAACTGTTTATTTAAAGCAGTTCAAAGTTGCTAAATGAGGGGTGCACCATCTTGTTGGAAAACTTCAAGTTACTCCATAGTCTAGAGGTAATGTTCCCACCTCATGACTTGTGGTACGCGGGTTCAAATACCCGGCGGAGGTTGTCGAATTTTTAAGGGCGTAAAAATTCAGGGAACAAGTCCTCCGGGAGGGACTTTAAGCCATGTGTCCCGTGTCATAGCTTTACGGCACGTAAAAGAACCTCATATCTCCAAAGGAGGTCACTGAGCCAAATTCAAGAACGTTTCCCACCCAACAGTAGTCTCTAAGGCCTCTGATAGATGGGGGGAAGCATTATAGACACTGCCAAACTAGTGGAGGCCGAACTCACTGGCTTGGTGGGACTGATGGTATGCACCAATATCGGTAGGGTATAGAGACTAGTAGAATATCATAGAGGGAAGCACAATGGACCAATACTGGTCTCAGTGCATGGGAAAACCCACCCTCCGATAACTAACTAACTGCTCTCATTTCAGTTTTAGAAGGACAATATTTTTTAATATATTAAGGTAAATGACCCTCTTTGTGATAGTTTCTTAAAAAGGAAAGGTCTTTGGACTGAGATAGAACATAGTTTTGATATGAAATGCAGGACAAGAGGTGCACATGTAGAACTTGCAATGAAAATTCTTAAGTACATGTCATTAGTTCAGGTTTTCGTTACATATCATGGTTATGAAAATAAAATATTTTTTGGACACCAGGTGTCATTGATCTATTGATTCTTAGCTGTTTAAAAATAATGTCTTTAGAGGCTATGTCATGTCAAATGATGTGGGGATGTCATGAATGAAGAGGAAACAGGATTTGAGGATTTGGAAGAAGGTGGTTGTGGCATATTTGCATGTATGACCCCCATCAGTTAACTAGTGGACTGTGGAAAACCATTGCAAACTTCAGTCAGTAGCGCCAGCAACTTTGACAGTATATGAACCAGGTACCTGCTGAACACAAGCCTACATTGCTTCTGCTACAATAATCTGCTCAGTGCAATGTTTACCTACTAATGCACAATCTATATTTTGTATTATCCCTTATTTAGGAGTTTATTGTTAAAAAATCGAAGCATATCTTTCATCTCTGGCATGCCACAAGATCTGAACATGGTGCACCTTCTGGCACAGACTCAAATTGTTTACAATAAGTAGAGCTCTGTGAAATTGAGGTTCTCATTGTGGTGAATATACTTGTATCTTCCCCGATGTGATGCCATGTAGGTTGGTAAGTGGGTAGCAATCTACCAAAATCTCCCATAGAAGACCATGATATTCAAGTAAAATCTTACTGTCTTTTGTTTTCTGATGTTTGAAAAAGGTATATTTTCAAAATGAGTTTACCTTTTTTACTGTGTTCTTAATTTTGTTAATAATTTAAAGTAAAAAAAAAAGTAAAGGTATCCCCGTAACAGGCCATGGAGGCCCATAGGGTTGTGAATGTTGAGGCTCTTACATTTTCTAGACAGTCGGCTCACAGGTGGCGGTAAGATTGTCAGCCTTACAAGCTCGCTGCCCTTTACCTCCAGGAATATTCCTTGTCCTCATTTCTGTTAGAGGCTGGGTCGACCCCAGGGCCATAGTGCGGCTGGAGGGATTAGGTCAATTGAAAGAAATCCACCTCATCGGGATTTGATCCTGCAGCCTTCCGGCTTGTAACATAGTGCCTTAACGAACTATGCTACGCGTGCCCCCCTTCTGTTAATAATTTTCAGAGTTTAATTTATGAAATAAATTTCATTATTTTTATGTTTTCATTAGGCTCATACTCCACTATCTTGTGATAGTTTCTCCCTGCTGATTTTTGTCACACTCTTTCACATGATACAATTTGCTCAGTAACTGCAGTTATCAAACGGTAAGAGTTCTCATGGGTTACTATATTTTTAATTGTTAACATTTGAAGTAGTGTGTGATACATAATTTGTAATATGTTTATGGTCCATTTCTGTACAAAATTTCACTTGTCTGTCTCCAGTGGTTTATTAGTTATCATTATAAAAGTGATCACTAAATACAAATGTCATGCAACTGCTTTGTTACGTTTCTATATCTGTCAGTTGCCTTTTTATAAGTTGGATGTCCTTTTAAGCTGTCAATGCACAAAGCTTCAGGAACATACATCAGCCAGCACAAATGGTGTTCTCATCTTAGAGGATTGCATGTTGATATTTCTGGTGACAGCTAATAAGAAGGTACAAAAGTATGGTGACTTCTAGTAGTATGGTAGTGTGTATGAAGTTCTATGAAAATCTGCCATTTGGTTTAAAAATTGTGAAGGAGAGATGGAGATACAAAGATATTCCTTATAAAGTAAGAAAAGTAGGCTGAATGGCCATGCCATGGCTCAAGCAGTTAGTCGCTGGCTTCCCACCGTGGCGGTTCGGATTCAATCCCGCATCTGGTCAAGTGGGATTTGTGATGGACAAAGTGGCGATGGGGCAGGTTTTCTCTGAGTACTTCAGTTTCCCATGCCAATCTTCTTTCCACCAAATTCTCCATCATCATAATCACCCGGGGCAGGCTACAATAGGCCAATCAGTTGCCACCGTGCCAAGTGGACCCAGCTGGACTCCAACCCCCACTAAGCAAATTTAAAGAGAAAAAAAAATAAAGTAGATTACAAAGAACTGTGTGGCTCATTTGTTGTGTTTGATCTCTGCTAGGAGTTAACTGATTCAAGCATCATGCAGTTATTTGTCTGAAAGGACAATTGAATTGAATGATGATGGTAAATGAAGGCAGATTACACATACCAGAGCAGTGACAGTATGTAGTCGGTAGGTCCTCAACAAGCCTGTCTTGTGTTCAGTTTCAGCTGCAGCTCTGCAGAGTTGATATCGATCAACTGGTCCTGGAGTCTCAGGGCTGCTACCATCTTGAAGCACAGCCAGTAAATAGCCTGCATGGGCACAGCATTCTGTCAGTGACACCACCAGGTCACAAATCTCCTCAATACATACCCGAATCTGTCACAGATGATAATTTCATTATAATATGTGGCTTCAGCAGCTTCATGTTAACAGTGTGCAACAGTTTCTTGCTTACCAGTTTTTAGTTATTATTGGTTTCAATGTGAACTCCATTTCTGACTTCATATAACCTTGTAACTGCCATGTAAAATAATATCTTCCCATATCTGAGACATAAAAGTTCAGTCTTCACATATATTTATATATACATTGTATATATTGATGCGGTACTTAATTATGCACAGGGACAATTTTATGTTTACCAGCCTTTTTCAAGATAACAGCAAATATAAAATTGTTGCAAAGACATTCATCTTCATAGATTTGAACTTATTATTTCTTTAAGTTATTGAAATTGACTATATTTATGAGTATTATTCTTGTTCATTCATTGCTGATGTTATTATTACCTGATGTGATTTATTTAGTAATTTGTTGGTGTAATGTGAAGCGTAACTATATTTCATGATTGTAAACCCTTGGTTTGTTTTATGAAAGAGAATAATGTCAAGCTATACCTCTTGTATGCCTGTGATAGTGTCACGATGAATTAGCGCTGCCAAGTCACGAAGCAGCACTGTGAGACCTCTGGTTCGAGATGCCACAGTCTCTCGACATCGAGATACACTCTCTCCAAATACTGAGAGACTGGCTGTTCTTACAGGTCTTGTGTCACTAGCATAATAGAAATTCTCTTTAGTTTTATTTCTGTTACCTAATTATGTAAAATTGATTTATTAGGTACTAGATTTACCAGCTGAAATATGTACTTAAATGACTGCAGTTTAATAAAAGAATGAATCTGTAAACATTTCACAGAATTTTTTTGGTTCAACATTCTAAATGCTTTTGGGGTCTCTATATAAAATTATATACAAATATATTTAAATAATAGTTTTATTTTCTGGCCTATTATATAGGAAATTTTGGCAATAACAAAGAATACAAATCTGTCACTGAGGTAACTGGATCCAAAATGAAACTTAAATTAGGTTACTACCCAAATATGAAACAGAAGTGATGAAAATGACACCATATTGTATAGTTTTAAAGGAGGCAGGACTGTCTTGGACGGTCTATTCTTGAACTGATTCATGAAACAGAATACAGTAAAGTAGAACATGTTCTCTAATCTGGAGTTCACATACAAGTATTTTCCAAACATGTTGCTTGATACTTACTTCATTGGCCTTGATATTATTCATTGCAAGTGCAATCTTTTAGACTGTTTAGTTACTATTCATGTACACCTGATCATACTCTTATTACAGATATTTCACTGCATAGTTACAAATTTGTTTTGCTTGTATGTCATCAAACATATATGACATTGAAAAATCTTCTAAATAAAATCCATATTTTACATTATATACCAATTATTATATGATCAAACATTATTTAGAAAAGAATATAAGAAGTTTTATATGAGATTCACATTAAGTAGAGGTTGTGGTGGGCCAGTACAAAATCTGTTGGAAATCCATTGTGTAGTTTCAGAGGTAAACTGCAGGGACTTCTTAATTATGTAATCATTTTATGTACTTTGTACAAGGAATACTTGAAAATATAAGTGCAATAATGTGAAGCAGTGGCAGATACAAAAGGTCAGGTAATTTCAAATTTCCTGTGTTTCTTGAATTAAATAGAATGTTGGAGTGCAAAATATGAAAGAAACTTAGCATCATTACCTTGTAAGCAGAAGGAGATCAGCCACCGTCTGCATTCTATGTTGACAGAGGTCACAGGTTAATGCCAGTGCACGGGCTTCTGGTAATCCCACTGAATACTCAGCATTAGCTGCTAAGGACTCTTCATGACAGTTTCTTTCCATTGCAGATTTTGATTCCTCTGGACATTGATCCTCATGTCCATGTTCTGGTGCCATTTCTGAATTTGTCCACAAATATATGTCAAGGTGTTTCCTGTTGATACAGTAAGCTTCGTGTTTTAAATTGATTGACAATGTTGAGTAATTATGGAAGATCTAATGATTCCGCTCTGAAGGCTACTGCAGACACAAGGATCAGTAATGCACTACTGTGACAGGTGTGTGATACGAGTAAATGTGTCCTGGATTCCTCTGAAAGAGCCAATGACCATGGTTGCTATGCTAGATGACAATCACATGACGGAAGCTGCTAACATTTCCTTCTTTACAATTTTTTATAAGTTGTTTTCAATGAGCATTAAAAGCAGCATGCGAACCACGACACCAGAATGAACTGCACAAATTGCTAGTACAGTTGTGGACAAAAGAAAGAATAGCACATTTAAGAGAAATGTTAATCATGTTATAAAAAGTCTTATGATATATTGTTTATAATTCTAATTAATTACAATGCGAGAGTCTTCAACACTCATATTTTTAAGAGTTCTGAAGAATCTTGGATTAGAATAATTGCAGTCTTAAATTTAGATGGACTATAAGTGAGAAGATGACATAAAGAATTCTTTGTAGGTCTGTTTCTCTTCATGAAAATTCTAAACTTTTGCATTTTTCATGCCATTTTGATTATCATGCTGCTGCTGAGGATGATAGTTGATGGGCTCCACCGAGTTTTGACAAGCTAGTTGCTGCTCATTTAAATGAATAATGCCATGTCTTTTATGGAACCTAAAGGTTTATTACCTTCTTCACAAGAGGTCATAATTGGACTGCAACCTAGGCCAGATTAATCCAGACCACATCATTACATCTCATTTCTTTAAAATCTTAATGGTTATCCTCACATCTGTGTTGGTTGAGGAAATATGCTACAACCCGGAAGGTCACGGGTTCTAGTCCCGATGTGGTCATTGGATTTTTTTCAATTTACCTAATCCTTCCAACCTCACTATTGCCCTGGTTTCGACTCAGCTTGTAGCAGAAATGAGTGCCAGGGATCTTCCTCGGGAGTAAATGGCGGCCGGTGCAAGGCTGACAACCTTACCGCCATCTGTGAGCTGATTGTGTGGGAGCCTCGATGTCTCACAACCTTATGGGCCTTCACTGCGTGTTGCAGGGATAGCTTTACCTTTTATCCTCACGTCTATGTCCATACCTCCAAAGCAGCCTTTTCCCTTTACATTTTCAACATATTGGACGACGACGACAACCAACAACAACAAAAACAACAAATCTGAGCCTGTTACATATCCCTCACATCTGTACCATGTGATATACTGCATGTAAATGCTCAAGATTTCAGGGTTTCATGGCGCTGAGTATGAAAATTACTGCCCTGTGGGATATGACGCAGTGGATCGTTACCGACTTTTCGGAGGAATGTGATGCCTCCGTCTTGAGGGCAAAACACCGTTCGGATTAACATATAGTAGTATCGTAATCTAACATTACCTGATTTTGTTCGAAAACTATGAGAAGTAAAATGAAATAAAGAAACTTATCTAACAAATTGGTAGTCCTGTAAATTTGTTTTGACTTTGATAAAACATTCCTCGTTAACTGGTGACTTCCGTACTATGTTGGCATTGCTGAATATTGCGTTGACGCGAGTATCTTGCTTTATGTGCAAGGCATGATGGGGCAGTAATGGAAAAGAAGTGCGCGGGTGGATTCTTTTGAAGTATTTTCGTCGGCGGAAACAAAGAAAGATTTATACTGTAAGTGGTTGGGGAAACGTTATATATCTGTAAGATCTCTTGAGACCGTAATATATGATTGTACTGTATTGGCAGATGCAGAGTATAAAATTTACCGTACGCTCTATATTTTTCACGTACACCTCTTCGTTACCTACCGTAGTAGACGATGTACTATTTGTAAATCTACGAGTATGACATTTTTACTCTCATTAGTCTTTTTCTGACACCGATCTCAACTATAAGCGACCTTAACCCCTTTTTTATAGCATAAAAGCGGTCAATGTCCACTGTTGTTTCGTTTGTGGGCATTCGATTCGGCTGTACATGACACTGGATAATGAGACTCTTCAAGCAGTTTCATTACTTCTACAAAATTCATTTAACCAAAAACCCCCGGCGAAGAACTCGCGCTTTTGTTAGTGCCAAATAATTATTTCCAATGTCAGTTGGATTACCAACAGGTCGTGGATGATTTCAATTAGTTGCAGCCTCGGAAGGGAAAGTCTGTAGTTACTTTTGGACTTTATCGGTTCGATATGAAATTAATTACGACTGTTAGCAGTATGACGAGTGCTGTGACCTATTTTAAATTACTTAATGTAGTTACGGGGGGAATCAAGCAAGAGAATAATAAACACTTTTTTTTTCAGTCTGATATGAATTGTTGCATGCTTTTATGGTGCAGACTTGGATTGTCTGTTCGTGCTATTACAGGGTGTGGTTCTAAATGTCCCTATCGCACGAGTTTGTCTCCATAGGACGGTCTGTTGACCATCCATGTCGACATCCTCTGTGAAGTCCCTTCCTCCTCATTAACTGAATGAGCTTGGGGTTGCTAACCTGCTACATACATACATTTACAGAACGCAGTATTTGAGACATTGTCTGGAAATCTGTTGTGGAATTAGTTAGCCAAGTTCAGAATTCACGAATTACATTTTTAATGGACACATATTTGTATTTTAGAATAGGAAGATATTTGCAACCATTTGCTTTTTAACACATATTAAGGAACAAGTTCATTTACATCATAACAGAACATGCTGCCGAGGTCAAGTCCATCCTTTCGTAATTTTGTTATCAGATGGTACTGTATGTATGTTTCTGTGCGTAGTGCTGAAACTACGATAAACTTCATTTAATTGATAAGGATCGTATTTTAAAATTAATGTTGATGCTCAACGCCGGTTAATTCTTATAGATTGTGTAAACAGAATGTTTTACCAGCAACTTAAAAAAGAAAATTAGACATGTTGTCTACATATTCTATGGCTACGCCTAACAAAATATTCCTAATGGGTTTTTTTTTTTTTTTTTTGATTTAACATCTTAACATATTTCCCATTTGCTTAACCGATGCCAATTCGGCAGCTTCAGAGATAGAAGTGACTCCTGGATGCTTGTATAGTGTGTACATTTAAAACAGTCTAAACAACAATCACGTACAGCGGTACATAAATAAAATGGGAATCTGTTCCCCTGGTGTAATGGACTCTCCCGGCTTTCCTCGTGACACCTGAATCAATGTCACCCTGGCTGCTAGGCTGCTGCTGTCATCGTTTGCGCAGAAGCTCTGCAAGAGTGAGCATGGTGTGTGTAAAAGATGCACGTGCGTTTAATAACCCAGACAGCCAATAGTGGAGAACTGAAAACCTACACGCAGTATATGTAACTCTTCTACATTCGCTGAAGTTTTAGTGACCGGATTGTTGGGCGTGGCCTTTGGCCATCTCGATCTCCAGCCCTTACACCACCAGACTTCCTTCCATGGGAATTTTAAAAGAGTCTATAAGAAGAATCCAAGAAGCTTAGGGGATCCAAAATATTTTACTGAACTGACATTTTCTGGTGGATATTTTCAGCTTCTACGGTAAAGATACACGCATTTTGTCAAATTTCCACAAGTAAGCAACAAAAACTAACAACTCATTTATCTTATTACATTGATATCATCTATAAGCTTACACGTCATATTACAATTTGGGTTGAGTTTTAAATGTTTCACGCTGTATAAGATTCATTTTGACTCAGATGCAAGTTAGTGGCAGGCAAAATATGACTGTAGGATAGTAGTCGACAGCCTCTTAGGTTCTGAACTGCTCGGAATGCATTGAATATAACTGAGGATTAGCTTTAGAAGAAATCAGATACATGCGTACATCGTACAGTGATCGGTGAGGGGCAAAATTTATCAATGGTTGGTAAGTTTTTGCTGTAAATTAACGATGAAGGAAACAGGGAAGCAAATCATAGTTTAAAAATGATTGTGTGGAGGAATGAAAACTTGCACATCATTTTTTGCAGGATTTTAGAACTGCTCCTTTATTGGAAGGCATGCGTTACTTTTATGTTTGTGACATAAGTTGTAGACACCCGGTGTTATGTCGCTTCCTTGTCCTCATTCTTCCATTGAAGGAGAGGCTCCAGATAGAAATCGTTTGCCGGTCGCCGATAAGAGGTGGTCATCTAGCGGGGGTTGGACTGGGGCCTTACAATCCCTTACCATAAAGATACTAGCATGTTACGAAGTGTTACACAGGACTTCTGGATGAGAATTGTTACAGAATTTGGTTTGGAGAAGCTCACGGGGAGACACCACTTGGAAGGTCTTGCCATAGATGAGAAGATGAACAGGATATTTGGCAGAATGGGTGAAGAAATTGCAATAGGCCCATAATTTAATGTAGTCTACATGCATTTCTGAATAAGTTACTTCGTTTATTGTTTTAAAGTTGGTAAAAAGGTAAATTGGTCCCTGTGCTTAGCTAATTAAGCACTACGCCATGAAGGCGTATGGGGGGTGGATTTATAGATCTACATTTTCTTGATCTCGGTACTGGTTAAAGGTGAGTGGTCAGCTTCACGCCCCTGCCGCTTTACCCCCAGGAAAGAGCCCCCGGTACCCATTGGATAAGAGGTTGGGTGGATCCCAGAGCCAATCTGGACGAGTTGGAGAAGAGAAAATTCTTGCTCCCATCGGGACTCGAACTCCGTCCCCTCCGGCGTCCAGCCCGTAGCCAGTCGCTATACCGACTGCGCTATCCCGGCTCGTAGTTTAATATCTTAATTTAAATGATTACACACTGCTGAAATATTTGTCTTGCAACAGGAAAGCAGGCGAAACATGGCAAATTCTGATAGGGAATAATTCTTTATGCTTCCAGCGCCGCAAATAGAACTCCGTCATGTTCAGTAGGGAGTTGAGCTTACCATAAATTTTAGTCTATAAACATGGTGCCCCTAACACCATGTAATTTCCAGTTAGAAGCCATGAACATCCAGAATATACATGTGCAAGTCCATAAGAAGTTCAGATAGGTCACATACCGTATTTTTTTTTATTGCTAGTGGGGTGGGACTAAGTCCCTTGTACTGCGGCCACTTCTGGCCTATTGTACCAGCCACAGATGACAGTTGAGGGTGATTGTTGAGCAATTTGTAGAATTAAGATTGGCAGGGGAAACCGAAGTACTCGGAGAAAACCTGCCCCAGCGCCACTTTGTCCACCACAAATCCCACTTGACCAGACCCGGGGTCGAACCCGTGGCGCCGCGGTGGGAAGACAGCGACTAACCGCTTGAGCTATGGCGCGGCCCTTAGCCCACATACCGTAACTATGAGTTCTAATGTCACGCCTGAACAGCTGCGTGAAATTAAATTGTATTTCTCTCATAATAATATGTTGCCTAGTTTTGTATGAAAGATTAAGCCCTTTCCCTGGTAATACAGTATGTACCTTCAAGATTCGTATTAATATTATCCTCCATCTACTCCCCTGTCTTCCAGGTAGTCTTTCAATTTTCAGACCAATTTTATATTGTAACATGTAGACCCTCTGCTGAGTAATGACTCTGTAAACAACACCCGCTGCTAGGCAACAAACTCCTAACAAGAAACTATTGAAAAGAAATAGAGGAACGGTGCCTTCTGTGCCGTCCGTGCCGAGATGTTATAAGCAGGGCAATTAGTGAGAGTTAGACCGTGTTGAGGCTGGTTCAAATACCTCCACCGTGACCCTACGAGTCGTAGGAGGCGACGAAAAGGGAAGTCTCAAATTTGATACAGTAATATATGGTCTCGAGTACCAAGGGACTCGGACCCGAGAAAGACTACACTGGCAAGGAGCAGCAGCATATACAAAAGACAGACCCGTCCTCTCGTCAGAGAGGGCGCTCACAAAAAAAAAACCGTACAAGACCGTAACTGTCAAACAATAATAAAGATTTGGTCGCAAGCCCCAGATGGGTGCTTTATG